CAATATTGTGCCAGTAGATTTCTGACATGTGTGTAACGAAGGTTTTGAAAAGAAATAACCTTGACCGATATTTAAGGCGACAGGTTTCATATTTGTTAAAACACTCAACCCACTTGTGATCAACGAAAGGCCTTAAAGCATGATGTTATTTGACTAGTATGTTCCAGATGAAATCCTCCAGAAATCAGAAAAGGAACGACCGTGACCTTGTTCAGAGTGTACGCCAAACATTGAGGAACGTGTAAATTAACATAACCAAACATAAGCCGAAAGCAAAATGAAGATAAGACCGTTTATATGTTACATGAGTACCACAGGGCGGTACAATACACGCCTGTCCGACGCCAAATAAATATTCAGAATTTGTTTTTTCAAAAATTCCAAATATTGAAAGGGTGATAATGAGTCAAATTAACAAAAAGGCTGTATGTTTTAATGAAAAATTAAATCGCCTAATTTTAAAGAGATGTGTGGAAAACAAAGAAATTTCGCCAAGCTTCAAATGCTTAAGAAGAACAAAGGACTTTTTTTTCTGAAATATTGTTGAATCAAGAAGACGTTGATTGGAACACAATCTCGTATTTTGGTTCTAAAGTCTACATAGTTAAGAAAAATTTTGAAAATATATAAATGTTGAAAAAGCCGGCAACTCTTCCCAAAACTTTAAAACTATTGTATGTTGAGGAATTCACAATTTTACCTAATGCTCATAAAACTTACACTGGTGAAAACTAAGGAAAGATATCTCCTTGCTTAACTGAAATGCTCAAAAAAGGGCAATAACTCTTTAAAAATCGTTGAATCAAACGGTTGTATAGGGAATCGCAACTTTTTGTCATGGTGATTAAACATAACAAGTTTGAAAGAAATCGGTAAAAATGAGCGTGGAGAAGGTGGGGAGAGGGGGGCGCGTGTTATCCGGACAATATTACTATTATGAAAATAATATGGAGAAGTTACTCTGTCAAATCAAACTGTTGTTCAGGAAACACAACATAATGCCCTGTTGATTAAGTCTGCCAAGTTTGAGAAAGGATCAGTTGAAAACTGTGAGAGGAGATCCCTGGACGAGATTAATATTTCAAAAACAAAGAGGGATGTTAACTCTTCCACAGTTGAATCAAAATGCCATTCAGGAAAACAATATCATGGTTATTAAGCCTGCCAAGTTGGAATACAGCGCGAGGAAATCTCCGGACAAACAAAAAGTTTACGGCAGACGGACGGACGGATGGACAACGCCTTAATACGTCGCATCAAAAGTTTTGACGGGTGTATAAAAACGAAATAGCAAAGCTGAGTTTTTTTTAATTACAGAAACTGGAAACCGGCATCACAATGAGGTACAAACAATCAAGTGTCAATGTTCTGTCTTAATATTTCAAAATCGTGTTTGTCACTGAACCAAACTTGGAGGAAAATTCCTCTCAGATAAGGAACTCTATTTTTTAAATAGAGTTTACAAACCTCAGGGCATAAAATGATTGCACCTGTATTTTTTTAAAGAAGAAATACAAAACTAAAAGTTTAACTCGATTTTATTCAAACAAGAGACAAATGAATTGAACAAAATCATTAGAACTTACTTAAGTTACGGCCTTTCTGTAACAAATAAATATATGTATTATTAACTTATCACGCAAGAGGCTAAGATTAATACATATTTTACACAATGTATATGAAAGAATTCTAAGTATAAAGTGAGGTTAGAGCAAAATAGAAAGAAAATCTCACACGTGGTATGGACTTTATAGAAGTACAAAGATCGTATTGCTGACGTGGGAGGACGGGACTGTACATGTATAGGACTTCAGTACATGGTTGTAACAACGTAATGACGTCACAAATAGTACTGGATCTGTACGCAATAAACGTTAGGGACGTAGCGGAGACACGCAGTGCATTTGCGTGCGTGACGTCCTTACTACGTCGCTCACGTCTGCCTTTGCGTTTCAATACGTCATGGACGCTCGAGCTACGTTCCTACTAAGTTCACAAGCAGTCTTTACCCGGTTCTAGTGAGGGCGCGTCCGCTCGACGATTGTTTTGAACAGTTCAAAGCAGTCGCCGCGACTTGACGCTCAAGGAAGTTCTTTTATGTTCTTATCAAGTTCCTAATAAGTACTAACAAGGACCAACAGCTCAGCACGCCGTTATTGGCGGTCTTACCACCATTTATAGTTTTCTCTGTTGTGGTACGAACGCCATGCTAGAACGGGTAGGTGGGACAAGCCCTTTAAGATGTCTGAAAAATTGTTCTGTTAAACGTCGGTCATGAGAATCTGTATCATCGGGATTGTATAAAAGACACACAAATAAAGAACTATTTTGTGGCACTTTCAGTGTAAGATGTAGCCGATACCCAAACAAACGATTTTTTTTATAAACTTTATCTAATAAAACGAAATGGCTGCAATGAAATTAAGAATGCATAAATTCTTTATTTTTCTTTGTATTTTATAATTCATACTGTATAACAGGTCATTTTCGCGGGACGATATTTTCGCTATTTCACGATACATCAACGTGATCGCGAAAATTCAGTCCGTGAAATGATGAGACGAGTGGATTACATGTCCTTTTACATCCAAATCGCGAATTTATTAATTTGTTGAAATATATATATCGCTTTAAAAGCAACTGGCGGAATTTTTTACTTGAGAAAATAGCCAGCATTATGATAATCCAAATATAAACCTAGAAAATTAATACAAAAAAGTGAGAGGGCGGGGTATTGTTCCGAGAGCTTGTTTTTTGTTTTTTGGTGGGTTTTTTTTTTTTGCTCGAAATTGTTACACCATCATGAAACATATCAAACCCAATCGTCGATATGTCCATGACAGGTAATTACATTAATCATGACAATATAGATAGATATATATATATCCGCTATCATTTTTAATAACAATAATAAAACACTCAGTATTCCGGGATCCTGGTCGATTTTGATTACATGTGTGTTGTCATAGTAACCATGACTGTTATTGCCGTCACAATAACGGTGCCGCATTATTCTAAGGATAGGGACAAAGCAGTATTCACATAAGGCGGAATGTATAGACGTACAAATCTAACGGGCAGGTATTTCATCAATGAATGCTTTATCAAGGTAGGTTTTATATCTCTGATATATATGTTTGTTTTGTTGATGCTACACAAGGAAATTGTCATAGTTCCTGTTCAATCATAAAAATTTGTAGTGTGTTTTTTTTTTAACTCCTAGCCATTTTACAAATACTTAAATGTATTTTGTCTGTGCCCGATGCATTATGCTGGGCCCATCCTTCATTTCCGTGATTCAGAACAATAGCAACGTATGTATTAAATGTATGTAATATTGAATTTCAACATTCATTTTTTTTACATTGTTAAACTATTTTTTTAATTTGATAAAATGCCGAGCCTAAGTACTTAAAATTATCAATATTTTCAAACTCACAGCCATCATATTCCTTTCAAGTTTTTTTCAGTACTTACTGTTAATGTCTATATGTCAGTTATTTCGATCTCATCTCGCAATCGTTTACAAAACACAAATGTTGGAGATAAGATTTCCCATTAGAATATAAGATATAATCAAGTTTTACAATGGAAGAATCCTGAGATATATTTCACAGAAAATCTAATATTATTACACACTGAACGCATGCTAGTCAACATCCCTGTTTTATGTCTCAACTCTAAATACTGCCTAATTTTATAAAATCGAAAGCTTTCTGATGGAGTCTACCCAAGTAACTGATTAACATAATATTTCTATCTCGCTTTTAATATTTTCTTTAAAACAGGAGTAGATTTCTTAAATGTTGATAATATATTCGTGAAATAGTTATTGATGGTTACACATGCCCACAGAAAACACAGTCTAATTCTTGAAATGCGACATCTTGCTATTATTAGCATAGTAATTGTTATAAAGAAGTATGTTTCAACTTATAAGATCTATAAACAATCAGTACAAGAGTATTCAATACATCAATGTTTGTGTGTTCCATTAAATCATGATGTAACTTTCGTTTTATCTTTTTAATGGAACACAGGGAACACGTGACCACAGTTTAAGACATTAAGAATACAATACATATAACAATGCATGCTGTTAGTTTATGATATACAAATCCGAGCTGCAATATTTGATAAGATAATGCAGGGATTAAAATTGAATTCACACATGATTCAGTAAATGATTAATCTTAACAATACATTTAACTGAATAATTTACATGTCATGTAAAGGTGGTTCTGAGATAAATTCAACCCGAGGAGTGTTCAACAAATTAGAATCTGACACGTGAACGATGTTTGATTAAGTCAGCCGACCGTCATGATATATAGTAAACTGTAAAACACCAAATAAAGCCTTTAGTATCAGATCATTCCCACCGAGATATCTCGATCGGTTTAGTGACAGACGAGGCATCTGTGGTAGCGACAAGATAAGAATTATGATTTTCTTGAGCAGAAGTGTTCAAATTCTCCTGCTATCCGGATCTTCTCGGACTAAACACATAATTCTCGACTGTACAAGGCGGTGCTTGTCAGTTATCAGACCGGATGTTCTATTGCTCGTCGGTAATGCGGAACCGGAAGTAGTTTCCTGGGACGAAGATAGAACTCGTGGCATTTTGGATTTCTGTCGGTAGTGTTACTGGTGAAGTCAGAGCCTTCACAGCTAACTGTATAACCACTAAGTTAACCGTGTAACAGGTCTGACGGTACTTCACCTCCTATCCTGAGTCGCTGTACAATTCATCATTTATATATAGTCGATCTTATGCCACTTATCACCTCAGGATTTGATAAAGAAATCTACGGCACCAGACTACTACGATGGGAAACTGCTCTCTAATACCAACCCAGGTGCTTCGGAGAAGATAACTCCTGTCGTTCATTTTTTGCCTATCGGCGTAATACATAATCCGGGCGGCTATAGGGCGCGTGCGTCTCCTGCATTCGTCTCATAAATCAATGAACATTTACAAACTTTGTTCATTCGTTTCCTCAGTTCATTCCAAAGCATTTCGTTACATTTCTCCTCGGTGGTTTCGTTTTATTGCTCGCGGAGACCAGTGAACATTTTATTGGTCGACACTGCAAACTTGAACGATACCAATGTGCCACGGGTACAGCCACATGTACAGTGGCCAGAGCCCAGGCCACATGTACAGTGACTGGAGCCTGTACAACAGGTACAGTGGCTAGAGCCTGGAAAACAGGTAGAGTGGCCAGAGCCTGGACAACAGCTATCGTGGCCAAAGCCTGGACAACAGGTACAGTGGCCAGAACCTGGACAACAGGTACAGTGGCTAGATTCTTGGCAACAGGTACCGTGGCCAGAGCCCGGGCCACAGATAGAGTGGTCAGAGCCCTGGCAACAGGTAAAGTGGCTACAGCCTGGACAACAGGTACCGTGGCCAAAGCCCGCGCCATATGTACAGTGGTCAGAGTCTCACCAACAGGTACAGTGGCTAGATCATGGACATTAGGTACCGTGGCCAGAGTCTGGACAACAGGTACAGTGGTCAGAGCCTGGAAAACAGGTACCGTGGCCAGAGCCTGGACAAAAGGTACAGTGGTTAGATCCTTGGCAACAGGTACAGTGGCCATAGCCTGTACAACAGGTAGAGTGGCCAGAGCCTTGACAAAAGGTACAGTGTCTAGATCATGGACAACAGGTACAGTGGTCAGAGCCTGGTCAACTGGTAGAGTGTCTGGAGCCTGGACAGAAGGTACAGAGGCTAGAGCCTGTACAACAGGTAGAGTGTCTGGAGCCTGGACAAAAGGTACAGTGGCTAGATCATGGACAACAGATACAGTGGCCAGAGCCTGGTCAACAGGTACAGTGGCTAGAGCCTGCACAACAGGTACCGTGGTCAGAGCCTGGACAACAGGTACAGTGATCAGAGCCTGGTCAACAGGTACAGTGGCTAGAGCCTGCACAACAGGTACCGTGGCCAGAGCCTGGTCAACAGGTACAGTGGCTGGAGCCTGGACAAAAGGTACAGTGGCTAGATCATGGAAAACAGGTACGGTGGCCAGAGCTTGGACAAAAGGTACAGAAGCTAGAGCCTGGACAAAAGGTACAGTGGCTAGATCATGGAAAACAGGTACGGTGGCCAGAGCCTGGACAAAATGTACAGTGGCTGGAGCCTGGACAACAGGTAGAGTGGTAAGAGCCTGGACAACAGGTACCGTGGCCAGAGCCTGGACAACAGGTACCGTGGTCAAAGCCCGGGTCACAGGTATAGTGTCCAGAGCCTGGACAACAGGTACAGTAGCCCACCCTCTCGTCCCTATTATGTACGGGTCCGCTGCGGCGTAACCAGATAGCTTCCTTAACCAACCGTCTGAAATGGTTGTTTTTGATGTTTGGAATGATGTGTAAGTGCAGATTTATTGATCTGGTACAGTGAATGTTTCTCTGATATATGATGCGCCGCAGTTCTTGCATTCGATTTTGTAAACGCATTCTACGATGTTTTCTTTGTGTGTTTTATCCTTAGGATGGACTAGGATATTTCGGTATGTCTTGTGAGGTTTCATGGTCGCTTCTTGTCTTGTTCTTCTTTGACAATCGTTTCACATTTGTTGAGCAAGGTTCATACAACGCCCAACTTCTGGTGTAAGGGGTGGTGCGACCAGAAGTTGAGGCATTGGTTTGTGTGCGTCCTTTTCCTATTTACCAATACTTCGATAGTACCGTCATCTTTCTTTGATAGGAGGGTGTCGAGGAATGGTATAGCGCCTAGACCAACAAGAAGAAAATGTTCCAAGATATATTTAGTTATATAGAAATACAGAATGCATGTATATTTAGTTATATAGAAATACAGAATAAAGATATCTAGTTATAGGTGAAATAGACGCATATTTCATAATAATTAAAATAGAAGTTAGTATAGCAAGCTCTATTCAAACTAGGTATATGCAAGGGAGCAAGGGAAAATATCGATAGTTTAGAAGGAATGGAGAGGAACTGAGTGTGAGATTTTGAATTCGAATGCCGAAAGACCGTCCGTCCGACTATGATATGAAATATTGCTATCGATATTTAAATGAGATTATTATCCATTTTCGTCCGTCAATATTTTCTACAAAATGCTACAAGTTAAGAACGACTGAGGGGATTTTGACCAAATTTGGTTTGAATCATGTTTGGGTGAAGGGAAATCAATTTTGTTTCTCAGCCCCCTGGGGCGGAAGGGGTGGGGCCTAATAGGGGAAATAGAGAAAATTCTTTGAAAACCTTCTCCTCCAGTAGGATTGAATGGATTTAGTCTGAATCATGTTTTGGTAAAGAGGAATCATTTTTGTATAAATGCTGGATCTTGCCCCCCTAGGGCAGGAGAGGAGGGGCTCAACAGGGAAAATGTGTTTAAAAACAGTTTAGACCCCCATCTTATTATCATGTAAAGCATTGCTGGGCATAAAGAGATAAATACAATCATGATTTAAGAATTGACCCTGGAGCCTGGCCCCACTCCTAGGGACTAAGTTTATGGTAATATTTCTGAAACAGTTGACATCCCCCCTAAATAAAATATGGCAATGCTGGGCATCACAAGATAAACACATTCACAATGTCAGAACTGGCAAGTGGGTGTGGCCCCACCCCTCTGGACTTAATTTCTGGATGATATCTTTGATACAGTTGAGATACCAGCCCATTAACCATATAAATTCTTTCTCGGAATCAAAAGAGAAAGACAGTAATGATATAAAATTTACCCAGTGGTCTTGCCCCATCAAACAGATTAAGTGATCTAGCTTTAATTTAGAAAATTTTGAAATATCCAATTTATAGGATATGTATAACAGTGCTGTGCTTTAAGATCCAGGTGAGCTATACAGGCCCGACAGACCTGTTGTATATCCTATGGCGGTGAACTGTACTACGTAATATACAGGCCTGATAGACCTCTTGTTTATCATATGGCGGTAGTCTGTACTACGTACTATACAGGCCCGATAGACCTCTTGTTTATCCTATGGTGGTATACCATACTACGTACTATACAGGCCCGATGGACCTCTTGTTTATCATATGGCGGTAGTCTGTACTACGTACTATACAGGCCCAATAGACCTCTTGTTTATCCTATGGCGGTATACCATACAACGTACTATACAGGCCCGATAGACCTCTTGTTTATCATATGGCGGTAGTCTGTACTACGTACTATACAGGCCCAATAGACCTCTTGTTTATCCTATGGCGGTATACCATACAACGTACTATACAGGCCCGATAGACCTCTTGTTTATCATATGGCGGTAGTCTGTACTACGTACTATACAGGCCCGATAGACCTCTTGTTTATCCTATGGCGGTATACCACACTACCTACTATACAGGCCCGATAGACCTCTTGTTTATCCTATGGCGGTATACCATACAACGTACTATACAGGCCCGATAGACCTCTTGTTTATCCGATAGACCTCTTGTTTATCCTATGGCGGTATACCATACTACGTACTATAGGCCCGATAGACCTCTTGTTTATCATATGGCGGTAGTCTGTACTACGTACTATACAGGCCCGATAGACCTCTTGTTTATCCTATGGCGGTAGTCTGTACTATGTATTATACACAGGGCTATTGACCAGTGTTAATGATATAATTATTCACTGAAAGGCCGCAGTAGTTAAACCAGTTCAATAATGAACGGGTTTTAGTGATTATACATCTCGAGTCAGACCGACAGGTACTCAATAATGGTTAACATGCTGAAATGGGACACGCATATTCTTTCATCAAACAATGCTTATTATCTCTCAGATAATGATTTTACTACAGAATAGAATTGGAAGAAGTTGTTTGAAAGATATCGAAGGTTGTCCTGGTAACCGTGGCATGCAATACAGGTAAACACGAATACGTTAACAATCACAGTTGGTGTCCTCGTACTACCACATTATGTTTCCACCAGCACCTAAACCAGACCAGTACAACCTACCTTAGTCACCACACCTATTTCTACCTCAGTCACCACCACTTTTATCTCAGTTACCACTTCCACTTCTGTCTCAGTCACCATCGCTTCAATCTCAGTCACCACCACCTCTACCTGTCATAAACACCACTTCTATCTCAGTCACCACCACTTCTACCTCAGTCACCACCACTTCTATCTGTCATCACAACCACTTCTACCTCAGTCACCACCACCACTTCTATCTTAGCCACCACCTCCACTTCTATCTCAGTCACCACCACTTCTACCTGTCATCAACACCACTTCTATCTCAGTCACCACCACTTCTACCTCAGTCACCACCACTTCTATCTGTCATCACAACCACTTCTACCTCAGTCACCACCACTTCTATCTCAGTCACCACCACCACTTCTATCTCAGTCACCACCATATCTATCTCAGTCATCACCACTTCTATCTCAGTTACCACCACATCTACCTGTCACCACCACCACTTTTATCCCAGTCACCACCATTACTTCTACCTGTGACCACAACCACTTCTACCTCAGTCACCACTACTTCTATCTCAGTCACCACCACTTCTACCTGTCACCACCACCACTTCTAACTCAGTCACCACCACCACTTCTATTTCAGTCACCACCATCACTTCTATCTCAGTCACCACAACCACTTCTACCTCAGTCACCACAACCACTTCTACCTCAGTCACCACCACTTCTATCTCAGTCACCACCACCACTTCTAACTCAGTCACCACCACCACTTCTATTTCAGTCACCACAACCACTTCTACCTCAGTCACCACAACCACTTCTACCTCAGTCACAACCACTTCTATCTCGGTCACCACCATATCTACCTCAGTCACCACAACTTCTATCTCAGTTACCGCCACTTCTACCTCGGTCACTACCATATCTACCTCAGTCACCACCACTTCTATCTCAGTCACCACCACTTCTATCTCAGTCACCACCACTTCTATCTCGGTCACCACCATATCTACCTCAGTCACCACAACTTCTATCTCAGTTACCACCACTTCTACCTCAGTCACCACCACTTCTATCTCAGTCACCACCACTTCTACCTCAGTCACCACCACTTCTATCTCAGTCACCACCACCACTTCTATCTCGGTCACCACCATATCTACCTCAGTCACCACAACTTCTATCTGTCATCACAACCACTTCTACCTCAGTCACCACCATATCTATCTCAGTCACCACAACTTCTATCTCGGTCACCACCATATCTACCTCAGTCACCACAACTTCTATCTCAGTTACCACCACTTCTACCTGTCACAACCACCACTTTTATCCCAGTCACAACCATTACTTCTACCTCAGTCATCACCACCACTTCTATCTCACTCACTATCACCAATTCTACCTCAGTCACCACCACTTCTACCTCGGTCACCACCACCTCTTCTATCTCAGTCACCACCACCACTTCTATCTCACTCACTACCACCAATTCTATCTCAGTCATCACCACTTCTTCCTCAGTCACCACCACTTCTACCTCAGTCATCACCACTTCTTCCTCAGTCACCACCACTTCTACCTCAGTCACTACCACCTCTTCTATCTCAGTCACCACCACTTCTACCTCAGTCAACACCACTTCTACCTGTCACCACCACTTCTACCTCAGTCACCATCACCACTTCTACCTGTCACCACCACTACTACCTCAGTCACCACCACCGCTTCTACCATAGTCACCACCACCACTTCTGCCTCAGTCACCACCACTTCTGCCTGTCACCACAACTACTTCTATCTCAGTCACCACCACTTCTATCTCAGTCACAATCACCACTTCTACCTGTCACCACAACCATTTTACCTCAATCACCACTACTTCTATCTCAGTCACCACCATCACTTCTATCTCAGTCACCACCACCGCTTCTACCTTAGTCACCACAACTACTATCTCAGTCACCACAACCAGTTCTACCTCAGTCACCACCACCACTTCTATCTCAGTCACCACCACCACTTCTATCTCAGTCACCACCACCACTTCTACCTCAGTCACCACCACCACTTCTATCTCAGTCACCACCACCACTTCTACCTCAGTCACCACCACCACTTCTATCTCAGTCACCACAACCAGTTCTACCTCAGTCACCACCACCACTTCTATCTCAGTCACCACAACCAGTTCTACGTCAGTCACAACCACCACTTCTATCTCAGTCAATATCACCACCACCACCAACAAAACAACAGTAAGAACAACAGCAACAACAAGAATTTCACCGTAGCACCTATTTGGTTGATCAAACCAAACATGACTAATAACGATAGGTTAAACAACTCTTTATATAAAATATGTACATATGTACGTCCTGACAGTGTCGAGTTCACCAAGATCAATATAATGACTTAATTTCTGCTAAAATGGAATGTTTTATTATCCTAAAGACACATTTAACATTGAGATGACATCCAATATCATTAAATAGGATTATATCATTATTGTGTAATCGGCTGAAGTCGAGGAAACCCCGAATACTTCCTATTTCCGAAGGTTGTTTTTTGACAATCTTTATACGGTTTCATATGACACATATCCGATATATTTTTCCTGATGATAAACAGTTGGGTATAAGTCATTTGAATTACCTATAAGGATTCGTAGATTGAAAATCAAGCGGTTTCACGACATTTGTATTCATTGACATTGTCTGTGAAAAATTGGTAAAAATTTCCCGTCGTTTTATGTTCCAGATCGCCTACTCTCTACAAACACCAACGATTATTTTGACAGAAGTTTGAGAAGAATTGAGATGATTTTTATATCAATAACAAGATCAACGATCTAAAAGGCAATTCACAAAAAAATATAAGTTCCCCTCCTTGACAAAATCAAGCCCCTGAGGAGGAATTCATCAGTAGAAGACTTCACATCCACGACAGGAACAAAGCGGTTGTGGATTCACGAAAAAACGACACCCTAAAAGGCAATTAGGAGCGGGTATCACACTTAGGACAAAGACAATGATTGAGATGAATTCGGAAGTGATTAGTGTGGGAGTGCCGACCAACAGGTTTAGGTCATGTGACACCATAAATGATTCCGTTGATACCAAGTCGCTGTTCAGGTTCGATTTGACCAACTATTACACTGTTTGCAGATTTCAAAGGGACAGGGATACTTTTAAAAGTTTTGTGTGGTCAGATATCGTATCTTTGCTTGATATATTACCGATAATGGGTGTCCTTTACAATATCTGTGCCATACTAGTTATTTATTTACAATGTCCCACGTGTTTCCCAGATACACTTTTTTACGTTCACCTGGTTGCGGCCATGATCCATTGTATCCTTTGCGGCGTCTGTTTAATAAAAACCACCAGGACCAGACTTCCGGTCTTTCACCCCTTATTTCCCGTATTAATCATCATTGCCGTGATATTATGGGATGGAACAAATTATTTGACCGGATATGCGTATCTCTGGTTGCAGGTGCTGATCTTTATTAATATGATGACTTTCTCGGGACGGTTACTTTTCTCTCTACCCGTATGTCTGATTTTGTTTTCAAGTGTCCTGATACCACAAGGAATACAACAATACACACAGAGCCATGAGTGGATACCGCAGGTACGCAATGCTGTAAATCAGGTAGATGTAGTGAATGCTTTATTTCGCGAACTTAACTCTACACATATATTCGCGAATGCATACTTTCGCGAATGGTGATCTAAAAATAGCTTTAAATTCGAGAATGATGACCTATTGTATCAAAGACATGGATTCTTCAAGACTCCGATAACAGAACCAATATGTATGCCTACCAGAGTTATTTTCGTACGAATTTTCACGATTGATTTGAATTCGCGATTGATGAACTTTGCGTATCAATGCAGAGGTCAGAAGGATGTTTGTCTTATCAAAGGACTCTGTATGTGTGATATTGTTATCATCCAGGTCAAAAGAATGTTTTGTGTAATCATAGGTCTTTGTAAGTGTGATATTATTATAATCTAGGTCAGAAAGATTCTTCGTCTTATCACAGATCACCCTAAGGGTGATAGAGTTATAGTCTAGGTGCCATGTATATGTTTTGTCTCATTACAGATTATTATGAACGTGATTGTGTTCCTGTGTATGATGTCACATGGATTTGCTGCTTACTTCTCACTGGAAAATGAATACCTTATGACATTTCTGGAAGATTTAAGATTATCTAAGTACAAAAAAATCGTTTCTGAGGAACAAATGTTGAAGGTAAATATAAATAAAATCGGATCTCAATTCTAAAGGAAATAGTCAGCAAGGTGTCACCAATACTTACACTTGTCTCCCATTGTGTCATATCTCAAACATCCCATTATATCATCTCAAAAATCCCATTATATCATCTCAAACATCCCATTATATCATCTCAAACATCCCATTGTATCATATCTCAAACATCCCATTGTGTCATATCTCAAACATCCCATTATATCATCTCAAACATCCCATTATATCATCTCAAACATCCCATTGTATCATATCTCAAACATCCCATTGTATCATATCTCAAACATCCCATTATATCATCTCAAACATCCCATTGTGTCATATCTCAAACATCCCATTGTATCATATCTCAAACATCCCATTATATCATCTCAAACATCCCATTGTGTCATATCTCAAACATCCCATTGTGTCATATCTCAAACATCCATTATATCATCTCAAACATCCCATTGTATCATATCTCAAACATCCCATTGTATCATATCTCAAACATCTCATGAATTTACAAAATTGGTATAAAATACAAATCGTAAAATTCAAGAAAAGTTTATTTAACATTCATAGGCATAAATTAACCTTAGAATACTCTAGTTCTGTGTGTCGCATCTACCAACCTTAGAATACTATAGTTCTGTGTGTCACCTCTACCAACCTTAGAATACTTTAGTTCTGTGCGTCACCTCTACCAACCTTAGAATACTATAGTTCTGTGTGTCACCTCTACCAACCTTAGAATACTTTAGTTCTGTGCGTCACCTCTACCAACCTTAGAATACTCTAGTTCTGTGTGTCACCTCTACCAACCTTAGAATACTTTAGTTCTGTGTGTCACCCCTACCAACCTTAGAATACTATAGTTCTATGTGTCACCCCTACCAACCTTAGAATACTATAGTTCTGTGTGTCACCTCTACCAACCTTAGAATAGTATAGTTCTGTGTGTTACTCCTACCAACCTTAGAACACTCTAGTTCTGTGTGTCACACTTGCCCACCTTATAAACCCTGTGTGTTACCCCTACCAACCTTAGAATACTCTAGTACTGTGTGTCACCTCTACCAACCTTAGAATACTCTAGTTCTGTGTGTTACTCCTACCAACCTTAGAACACTCTAGTTCTGTGTGTCACACTTGCCCACCTTATAAACCCTGTGTGTTACCCCTACCAACCTTAGAATACTCTAGTTCTGTGTGTCACCTCTACCAACCTTAGAATACTCTAGTTCTGTGTGTCACCTCTACCAGCCTTAGAATAGAATAGTTCTGTGTGTTACCCCTACCAACCTTAGAATACTCTAGTTCTGTGTGTCGCCTCTACCAACCTTAGAATAGTATAGTTCTGTGTGTCACCTCTACCAACCTTGGAATACTCTAGTTCTGTGTGTTACCCCTACCAACCTTAGAATACTCTAGTTCTGTGTGTCACCTCTACCAACCTTAGAATACTCTAGTTCTGTGTGTTACTCCTACCAACCTTAGAACACTCTAGTTCTGTGTGTCACACTTGCCCACCTTATAAACCCTGTGTGTTACCCCTACCAACCTTAGAATACTCTAGTTCTGTGTGTCACCTCTACCAACCTTAGAATACTCTAGTTCTGTGTGTCACCTCTACCAGCCTTAGAATAGAATAGTTCTGTGTGTTACCCCTACCAACCTTAGAATACTCTAGTTCTGTGTGTCACCTCTACCAACCTTAGAATAGTATAGTTCTGTGTGTCACCTCTACCAACCTTGGAATACTCTAGTTCTGTGTGTTACCCCTACCAACCTTAGAATACTCTAGTTCTGTGTGTTACCCCTACCAACCTTAGAATACTCTAGTTCTGTGTGTCACCTCTACCAACCTTAGAATACTCTAGTTCTGTGTGTCACCTCTACCAACCTTGGAATACTCTAGTTCTGTGTGTCACCTCTACCAACCTTAGAATACTCTAGTTCTGTGTGTTACCCCTACCAACCTTGGAATACTATAGTTCTGTGTGTTACCCCTACCAACCTTAGAATACTCTAGTTCTGTGTGTCACCCCTACCAACCTTAGAATACTCTAGTTCTGTGTGTCACCTCTACCAACCTTGGAATACTCTAGTTCTGTGTGTCACCTCTACCAACCTTGGAATACTCTAGTTCTGTGTGTCACCTCTACCAACCTTGGAATACTCTAGTTCTGTGTGTTACCCCTACCAACCTTAGAATACTCTAGTTCTGTGTGTTACCCCTACCAACCTTAGAATACTCTAGTTCTGTGTGTCACCCCTACCAACCGTAAACTACTCTAGTTCTGTGTGTCACCTCTACCAACCTTAGAATACTCTAGTTCTGTGTGTCACCTCTACCAACCTTGGAATTCTCTAGTTCTGTGTGTCACCTCTACCAACCTTGGAATACTCTAGTTCTGTGTGTCACCTCTACCAACCTTAGAATACTCTAGTTCTGTGTGTCACCTCTACCAACCGTAAACTACTCTAGTTCTGTGTGTCACCTCTACCAACCTTAGAATACTATAGTTCTGTGTGTCACCTCTACCAGCCTTAGAATACTCTAGTTCTGTGTGTCACCTCTACCAACCTTAGAATACCATAGTTCTGTGTGTTACCCCTACCAACCTTAGAATACCATAGTTCTGTGTGTCACCTCTACCAACCTTAGAATACCATAGTTCTGTGTGTCACACTTGCCCACCTAATAAACCCTGTGTGTTACCTCTACCAGAAAGGCTAAATTGATGTAGGTTAACTGGTTCAGCCCAGGACAACCAGATTAGTATCCCATTGATATCATACTACCTTCAGTTTTAGTGATATAATTCTTTAACCGTTTGGTCGTCCTTCTCTGACAAACGGAATTACGACCGTTTGGTCAAGATGTTTAAAATCATTAAAAATAAAGTACAGATTGATAAACATCTCGTCTTCGCTCCACTACTTCCGAAAAAACAACACAACGAGCAAATAAATGTGCCGTACTAGCGTGCTAGAGTTCTACATGTAAACTAATTTATAAGAACAAGAGTTTGAGTTACACAGGGGCTAGACAGGCCATTATAAAATGTTTGGCTTTGGTTTGTGACGTTGGCAACTTGGGGTTGCATAGTTTGCGCGCAGGCGGCGCTACCGTCGCTGCGAATAACGGCGTCAATGATCGGTGCTTCAAGAGGCACGGCTGATGGAAAAGCGAGGCAAGCAAGGACGGTTATGTTGCCGACTCGTTACACGCTAGGTTACAAGTCATCCAAAAGCTAGGATTGTAGTTTTACAGTGTTTGTTTCATCTTGTATAGCGAGCATAGTAGTTTTTGTTTTGAAATCAGTCGCGCGTCAATCTTTCCCTTTCTTTGTTTAATTCTAGAACTCTGGCAGGCTAGTACGGCAAATTAATTTGCTCGTTGTGTTGGTTTTTCGGAAGTAGTGGAGCGAAGACTTATATTCCCGCGTTTCGTTAGTGTAGCGGGAATTATTTGTCTTTAGCGACATCGCATGCATAGCGCTTCGCACGTTCCGCGTGCGCGAGAACGCGGGTATGCGGATACGAACCCGGGTACGTGTTCTGTATGGTCACATTCTAGCTGCCATCTCAGCAGGGCGAACACAGTAAAGTTTTTTTTACAAATTTATTATCGTTAGTTCAAGTCAGTTGTTAAAAAATAGTCTGTTCCCTGACAGATTTTTTCTTTTGTAGACATAGCTATATATGTTAGCGGTAATAAAGAAAGTAATTTCGGGGTATCTCCGAAATAACACAGGTCCAGCGTTACCCTTAGGCCCACCTGTCTGGATGTAATCGTTTTCCTGCCTTTGGATACAGATTTCCGGGGGCGCCAGATGCGAGCTGATGATGGGAATTAGCGTTTAAGTTTTACAAACTACATGTACATTTACAGATACCTATATATCATGGAGCGAGATGTAACAGATTGTATAGTAAAATATATGGTGGCATTAAACTCCTTCTAGAACTATACTCGCTATACAAGATGAACTGTAACTGTAAAACTACAATCCTAGCTTTTCGGTGACTTGAAACCAAGCGTGTAACGAACCGGCAACATAACCGTCCTTGCTTGCCTCGCTTTTCCATCAGCCGTGCCTCTTGAAGCACCGATCATTGGCGCCGTTATTCGCAGCGACGGTAGCGCCGCCTGCGCGCAAACTATGCAACCCCAAGTTGCCAACGTCACAAACCAAAGCCAAACGTTTCATAATGGCCTGTCTAACCCCTGTGTAACTCAAACTCTTGTTCTAATCAATTAGTTTACATGTAGTTCCCGAGCGAAAAGTTGGCCGGAACAAAAACATGTTTGAATAAACGTCTATATCTGCTATCTCGATGTATTTGAGAACCATCGCGAAAGGACAGGCTGTCTCGCCTTTGCTTATCACCACCTCGTTTTCGTGTCGATATTGATCGGTTTTACTTTTCCGGATCTTCAATAAAAGATAACCATCAAAAATTTCCAGGTCTGAACACAACAGGTCACTTAGCTCGTTAAAGCGTAGAAAACCTGAAAAACTTAACAAAATCATAGAAATCCCGAACTACAAGCAAGTCCTTATCATTAGAGAAGATATTACACAGTTCAATTAAAATGTCCGTGCTAACTGGATCCTTCTTGCATACTGGTTTGCGGGCTGTCTGTTTGGAGCTCTCCAGCATATTCTGAACGAAACTGCTGGTTGTAGGATCAGAGAGTCCGTTGATTTCATGCACCCACTTGATGGCGTACACTACAGAGGAAATGACGGGAAAAGATGAATGTCTGTCCAACAAGTAGTTGAGGTACAGTGCCAGGTGTAGGGAATTAGCAGGCAATGCACAGCAGTCGTGTGACGAACAAAACTGCTTCCATTTACGAAAAATATCGGAAGTACTTTTTATTGGTGTTTTCACTTTCACTGTCCATGAGTCGGATTGCCATGTTACTCGCCAAATAATAGAGCGATGACCCATCTTGTACCCCGGTATTCCTGACGGCCTTGTCG